TGTTTAGGTAGTACTCAAACACATTGTCCAATTAGCTTGGTTTTGACACAAGTTAATTTCTTACAATACTCAACCCCCTCCCCTTTAAAATGAGCTACATAATAAAATAAGTATGGTCACTCATGTGTTTGACGCACCCGGTTCGACACAAACTGCTTAAGAGTAGTGGGCGGCTTGCGTAGCCAACACAACACAATCCGAGAATCAGACCAGAGGTAACAAGGAGTATCTGTTAATCTCAAGGCAATACGTACGTTTTCGAGGGTAACAGCGAGCAGAAGTGCGGCACAAAGCTCCAGACGCGGGATCGTTTCTCCTTTAAAGGAGGCCACCTTGGTACGAGCCGTAAGCAGTGATACGGCTGAATGACCTTCCGCATCTGTGGCTTTAATATATATTACAGCTGCATACGCGACCGTACTGGCATCGCAAATTCCTAGCAGGATAGTAGCTCTTCCTTCAGCCATACCTAACCATCGCGGAATCCGGATTTTGTTTATTACGTCGAGCTCGCTGTAAAAAGCTACTCAGATGGTTTGAAGTTCATCTGGAAGTGGTTCGTCCCACGACAAGCCAGCAGCCCACAACCTTTGTATGAATATTTTTCCAGTAACAATAACTGGTGCCAGTATGCCGATAGGGTCGAATAGTTTTGCGACGTCACTTAGTACCCGTCGCTTCGTTAGAAAGCCTATGTTCTCTTTCAGATCTACCTTGAAAAATAGCTCATCACCTGCTGCATCCCATCGAAGCCCAAGTACAGTTGCTGTTGGTGATTCGATGGTCATCTCTACGTTAGAAGAACGGTTGCCAATCAAGCGTGCTAATATTTCACCACTACTGGAGTTCCATTTACGTAAACGGAAGTGGCCTTCAGACAATAGCGAAGTCACGTTGGCTGCAAGTTCAGTTGCATTTTCTTCGGTATCACAGCTGGTAGGAAAATCGTCGACATAAAAAGACGACAAGATCGCATCGCGTGCCGCTATCGATTTATTGACTATCAGCGACCACCTTGTAGTTGTCGTATGCGCATTGGTTGATTGCGCGGACCGCGTTGTAGGGACTGCAGCCGTACCATAAGTCACCGTTGTAAGGCGGTATATAGTGATGTCGTCGGTTGGGGACTCCCTCCTAATATTGTGATGAAAATCTCTATGCTAGGGTTTAACAAGTACCTGTCGAAACATCTTCTCAACATCGGCAGACAATGCGATGCGAAAGCGGCGAAAGCGATATATTATGTTAAGTAGCGGCTCTTGTATTGTGGTTCCTACCAACTGAACTTCGTTCAGGGAGACGCCGGTTGTAGTTCTCGCTGAGGCATTGAACACAACGCGAAACTTCCACATAACTGCATGATGCGGTATATAAAAGCCCGCTTCATTAACGTTCAATTGGTTTGCGCGCTCCATATGGCCCAGGTCTGCATATTCGCGCATAAAAACAATGTATTTCTCCCGGAGTTCACTATTTGCTGCCAGTCGCCGCTCAAGAAGGTAAACCTGTAGTAATGCATGAGTATAAGAGTCTCCCAAAGTCGGCGCATCAGGACGAAATGGAATGCACGCAACGTAGCGTCCGTCAGGTGTGCGAGAGTGGGTGTTACAAAAATTCTTTCGCATTCAGTTTCGACAACTTGACATAGGTCAGCACCAACTAGCACGTCGATATTACCGGGAATGCCGAATTGTGCATCCGCTAATTGAATGCTGGACAAGTGCTGCCACTGTGTCGTGTCAATGTACGTTGCGGGGATGACTGTTGTAATTGACGGAATGACAAGCGCAGTTATCTTCAGCGTAAAACTAGTATGGGCAGATTCTAATGTGAGCGAGACGCTACCACGAGCGCGAGCGGAAGAATGGGCACAAATTCCTTGGACAGGAATATCGCATTTACGTCTACGAAGAGATAAAGAATTAGCTAATTTATCTGTAACAAAACTTACCTGCAAACCCGGGTCACAGAGCACGCGCGCCATGCGTCGAG